TTCCTATATTTAATTTCTGTTGTCTTTTTTTGCCAAGACCAATTCTACTTTTAGAATGTCATTCCATTCGTTCCCAAAAACAAGTATTCTGTTCATAGCAGTTCTGTCCAATTTATTTAATAAACAACTTAGATACAAATTTTTTCCACCAAAAATGCTGAAGATAAAAATAAGTAGTAATTAAAATAGCATACTATTCATTAAACACATTCACAATGGGCCGTAATTCATATGTCTCACTGCTGGGTGGCTCTGATTTGAATTGACTGTTGAATCGGGTGGCTTGTACTGCTTCTCAGCGGGTCTTTGATTACAATAATGCAAAGAAAGGAACTGATCTAGCAGACTAGATGTCATCATATTCCAGTTCCTTAAGGGAAACATTAAAATGGTATAAAAAATTTTAACACAGCTAATTTGTGGTACAGTACAGTAGCTGTAACTGTGTATTATATATATTGGCAGTAGGGTACTTGTAGGATTTCCCTGTTAAAATTTAGGAAATTAATTACTGATGGACTATTAACCTGTGAAGAAATGCTATGGGTGCAAACTACTGGAAAAAAATTCACTCTATGTAAGGTTATTTAGAAATGCATGTAAGCCATGTGGAGAATGTTACAGAAAATTATTTGCCAGGCATGGTGGCATATGCCTGTAATCCCAGCACTTGAAAGGCTGAGGCAGGAAGATCACCTCAAGTTCGAGGCCAGCATGAACTACATAGGGAGACTGTCTTTAAAAAAAAAGCAAAGCTAGAAAAAATGGGTGGCACTGTGGCCACAAAAAAAGCCAAACATAATATGACATTTTGCACACTCTGCACAATTCTGCCAGCACTATGTATAAAATGTTTTGAAGAAATTCACGAATATAAATTTCTTAAAATAAATTTGTTGATAATTGTTAATTTTGGGGGGGGGTACCGGGGATCGAACTTGGGTCCTTGGGCTTGCACAGCAGGTGGTGAAACCACTGAGATAAATCCCCAGCCCAATAATTGTTAATTTTAAATCAGTATGAATAGTATTAATATTTATATTTGGACAGTATTCAAATTCAAGCAACTAGATTCATCAATTTATACTTATTTTATTAGTAAGAAGGCTGATAAAATCAATGAGATCCATTGTACCACCAGTGGTTCAAGCAGTGGGAACGTGTCAAACCAGAACCATGCTCTCTTAATTATTGGGCCCTGAACGCATAAGCTGCTCAGCAGCCAAAGGTGACAAGTTAGTGCAAGGTGACCAAAGTGTTACACGGTCTAAATTAAGACCCTCAACAGTATGGGGGTGGTGGCACATGCCTGCAATAGCAGCACTCTGGGAGGCGCAGGCAGGAAGGTCCCAAGTTGGGGCCCAACTCTGGCAACTCTGCAACTTAGCAAGATCTGTCTCAAAAATGTAGAAGAGGGCTGGGGACTGTCAACACCATGGTGCATTTAGACACCTGCACCAAGTGTTACCCAGTTTACAAGTCTGTGACTGATAAAACCCATTTTTCAGATCACAGAACAAAACATTCGACTCAGGGACTATGATGTGGCAGTTAATAATATGGGCTCTGGAATGAGAATGTCCTGTTTCTGAGTCCTAGATATAATCAAGGATTAGCTGTATGACCATGGACAAGTTACTTAATCTCCCTATGGCATCAGTTTCCTCATCTAAGTAAGGTCTCACAATTTGTACTTGACAGGGTTATCACAAAAACTACATGAAACCATACCAGGGATAACAAGGAAGAAGAGTCAAATGACATTCTCTGTCAGTGATTAGTACCTGTGTCTTATAAAGTGAAAGAAAAAAGAAACTGTTTGGAATATATCTATTTGGCAATTAGTAGACCCTAGTCTACTTTCTAAATGTAATTAGTGAAAAACATACCATAACCCAGGTAACCTTTCTGACAGTACCTTAAAATGGAAATCTATGCCCTATTCAATTGGGAGGGGGTTGAAAATAAAAATGACCACTACAATTAAGTTCGTTCATATATATACACATATATATATTTTTTGGTACCGGAGATTGAACTCGGGACCTTATGCTTAGGGAGGCAAGCGCCGGAACCACTGAGCTAAATCCCCAGCCCAAAGTTCGTTCATATTAAACAGTCTCCCAGCTCTATTTTTCTCTTTAAGGTATACTTTTTTTTTTTCGTACCAGGGATAGAACTTAGAACCTTGCGCTTGAGAGAGAGGAGGCGGCACCACTGAGCTAAATCCCTAGCCCTCAAGGTATACTTTTTTTTTTTGGTACCGGGTATTGAACTCGGGTTCAAGGTATACTTTTACTGTATCTCCCAAACAGGCTTATCCATCAGGTTGTCCCTAAAACACATCAGAGTGCCCCACTCAAGGAACCATATAAACTTATTTCTAGTGACTTAAAATCAAATACAAGGGCTGGGAGATGTAGCTCAATGGTAAAGCACTTGCCTTTTATGCACCAATCCAAGGTTTGATCCCTGGCGCACGCGACACACACACACGCACACACACGCACGCACACGCACACACGGAAGGGGAGATGAAGAAGGGAAAGGACAAAGGGAAGGAGACCAAGCTATAAGTCATTTCCTGTATGATGGGTATGTCCTAGGATCTGACAGGGACAGGTGGACTGTTCTAGGCAATGCTCTGTAATTTTCCCTCAGGCAATCACAAGCATTTACCTATGAGGGTTTTCCACTGCCCACTGCCACTACAGTGGGATATGACAGGAGGAGGTATTATGACCATCATCACAGAACCCAATGCCACCCCTAGGGGGAACACAAGATCCCTCTAGTCACAACTGAAAGTAACTAAGAAGAGAGAAGCTACAGCTCTGCTTTTTAAACTATTTGGTTTCTGTAAAAACCTTACCATTTACAGAATGAAATCTATGCTGAAAAGCTGAAAACCTCACTGTTCTAATATCTGGTTTTGGACATGGGTAAGCTGAGCTTCAAACAAGTTAAGGAATTTGTGAAGGCTTCACAACCAGCTCTAAGACCAGCCCCAGGAAACTCGCAGCAGCCATCAGGTAGTCTCTCCAAAGCTCCACGCAACCATCTCTGCTCCCTCGACTCTAATCACATCAGTAACCAGCATTTGGGAAAGTGGGAACTTTTACGTTGGTCTTTCAAATCCATCTATTCATTTCCAGGTTTGCACTGAGAACAGGAAAAGGGAAATGATAACTTCTCCATTTATTTCAATCTCTCCCTTTTGTTACATAGCAAGATGTACTAGCCCGGGATTTAGCTCTGTGGCACTGCCACTTGCCTCCCAAGCACAAGGTCCTGAATTTGATCCCAGTACCAACCAACCAACCAACCAACCAACCAACCAACCAAAGCAAGGTGTTCTAGTCCTTGAGACAAGTTTGCCTGCTAAAACACCAAGTCAAGTTCTCCAAAACAAGGAATATACAAGAGATTCTTTCAGTTGGTATGCATATGAACTTTGAAAAGTTCCTTCTTTATTCATTTATGGTTTTTGTTTTGAGACAAGGTCTCATTATGTAGTTCAGGCTGGCCTTGAACTCACAGCAATCCTCCTGCCTCAGCCTCCCAGATCCTGGGACTACAAGCGTGTGCCATCACACCCAGCAACTTCTTATAATTTAGGGAATCAAGGGGATACATAGTACTGCTCAGAAGAAGTACATGGAAACTCCCTTCCAAGTATAAAAATGGCTAACAGAATGTACATAAACATTCTCAAAGTCTTCTATTTTAAGTGACAAAATCTGTTTTAAATGAACTATTTTGGTCTTGCAAAGCTTATATTTCAGTTGCTTTTTTGCTCTCACTACCTATATTTATGGGGTTTTTTTTGGTACCGGGGATCAAACTCGGGACCTTGCACTTGCGAGGCAGGTGGCGGAACCACTGAGCTAAATCCCTGGCCCTATATTTACGGTTTATAAATATTTTTATTGATATATTTGATATGAAGCAAGAGAGGGCTTACCATTCATGGTAATGACATGATAATGAGTATGCACATATCACATAAACTGTCACTTCACCAAATATAGCAAAAACATGTAAAGTAATAAGCAAAAGAATGAAATCTAAGAAATACTTTATTAAACCTCAGGAAAAAATATGTTTGTAACCTTTAAATTTTTACAAGGTCATTTCTTAACCTGAATATTATGCATTATGAATTATTCATGTGAACAGGAGACATGTTTGTTTCAATCACTTCTAATTTATCCAGACCTTCCATGGCCAAGAGGTCTCTTGTTCTCTCCAGCCACTACAGTGCAGTGACTAAGGTATATAGTGAGTCATCTGCAAATAACTGCTACATTGAGCACCTCTGGCAGTTGTAGGATAAGGGAGGGCTTTCTCCATATTTAGTAACCTGTTACTAAGAAGATTCTCACAGCTCCCAATGGACTGTTGAGTAGTATTTCCAGAAAACAACAGTAGTGCAGGAAAAAAAGATACTTCTGTACAGGGGCACCTACTGACTTGTAGGATTCAGAACACATTTATCACTTTTTGGGGGTACTGGAAATTCACTTTAAATACACAGCTATTTATTATTCATTCATTCATTCAACACAATGTTATGGAGTATGGCAACACTACAGGCAAACTTTCAGCACAAGATAGCACCCTTTTTCTGTAACTGTGGACTGAAACTAGGACAGAAGCCCTATGGTGGGGCTGCACAACCTCGCCAAGGACAGATGCAGGAGAGGTTCACTGTGCACCCACTGTTCTCACCACTACTTCGATTTCCTGTCATCAGATCAGCTCCCAGTAAGCTGGGAGGAGGATTATGACTCAAAGGCTTTCAACAGCTGAAGGGCAGAGCTAGTACATTTCAGCCAAGCCAAGGAGAGGGAAGGGACAGGGAAATGACTAATCAATGTTTCTCATTGGGCACTGGCCATGGAGCTAAGAACCCCCTCATGCAAAAAGTGCTCCCATGTACTAAGCAAGCAGCGAAGGGTCACAACATGCTATCTAAAAACAGGCTTGGAATGGCTTACTTGTGGGATGTCCTCTTCTTCATCATGTTTGCAGACACTCCAGCATGGCCTACAAAATAGGTGAGTTACAGTCAATGAAAAGTGGGTAAAGAAATACTTTAGAACTTCTGAATAACTGCTTACATAAGTCCTAAACGTGTATCATTGACACCCAACATGTAAGAAAACAATTCATTTAACTTCTAACAAGGAGGTATTCTAGGCAGACAACACGGTAAAAGCCAGTTCTCTACTCTCAAATCACCCCTAAAAATACAAAATCTGAGTCACGTGGACAGAACTGAAAGTGTGACAACTGTAGCCAGAAAGTAGTAAATGGTATAGAACTATGTTCTTGGCAGTGAAGGTCTATTGGATCTTAGTCCCTCACTGACCCTGAGTTCACTCCTGAGTGCAATTATTGGATGGTGTACACAGAGGGGGAACCAAAAAGAACATTATGGCTTTGCCAAGTGGCAAGTCAGACTGGAGTCAGGGAGGAATGGTGGCTGGAAACATGGAACCAAGGGCAGGAAAGGAGGGAGCTGGCCATTCTGAAGGGGACCTCCAAAAATTTGCACAGAAGGTAGAGGCTTCTGGTTTTGGCTACACATGAATTTGCACATAATTCTGAGAAGCGACTAAAGGGTAAAGTTGTCTTGAACACCCTGGGCAATGAGTAAAGAACTACAACAAAAAATCTGGTGTTACCTTCCTAGGAAGTTGTAGCAGCCCTGGAATACAGGCTACTACAAAAATCCATCCCCAGTACTTGCTTGCCAAAATAAAATTCAACATTCTTTAAAAGATATGATCTAGGGCTGAGGATTTAGCTCACTGGTTCCACCATCTGCCTTGCAAGCGCACAGTCCCAAGTTGAATCCCAGTACCAAAAAAAAAAAAAAAAAAAAATATGATCCAGTACAACACTTCAAATGCCCAACACTCTGCCAAACATTATTAGTCATGTAAGGCCTGGGGTGTAGCTCACTGGTAAAGCACTTTCTAGCACGCACAAAACCCTGCAGTACCACAATAAATAAAGTTTAAAGAAAAATACTCTTGAGCTGGGCATGGTGGCACACATCTAATCCCAGCACTCAGGAGGCTGTGGCAGGAGGCTCACTTAAAAGTTTGAGGCCAGCCTGAACTACAAAGGGAGACCCTAACTCAAAAAGCAAAAGAAAAACAACAACAAAAAAAGAAAAAGGGCCGGGGATTTAGCTCCATGGTGCCACTGCCTGCCCCACAAGCACAAGGACCCGAGTTTGATCCCTAGTACCAAAAAAACCAAAAAACAAACAAAAGAACCTTTACTCGCCCCATACCCAGAACCAAACTGAGGACCTTGCACTTGCCAACCAGGTTCAGTGCTACTGAGCTAAATCCCTGGCCCAAGAAAAATACTCTTAAAACAAAAAAATCGGGGCCGGGGATTTAGCTCAGTGGTTTTGCCGCCTGCTGTGCAAGAGCAAGGACCCGAGCTCAATCCCTGGTACCAAAAAAAAAGAAAAGAAACAAACAAACAAAAACAGAAAAATCAAAGTAGTGGAGATGGAGCTCTGTGTCAGAATGCTTGGCTAGCAAGCTTGAGGCTCTGGGTTCGATCCACAGTACTGACCACAAAGAAAATAAAGAAAACCAGAAAAATGTAAAGCATGATTAAAAAAACACCAACCAACAAAAGAAAAAAAATCACTGAATGTGATTTAATAGTACAATAAATGAAGCAGATAAAATGGTCAATGAACTTGAAACAGCAGTTCAAACTAAAATAGTGTGTGCGCACACATACAACAGGGGCACACAGAGATCTTGGAAGTGTGTATGAGAATACCAATGGGGCTAACATTGGAACCCCCACTCTAAGAAAGAGAGGAGAGAGGAACAAAGGGGCAAATGTAGAAAGCCTTCTGGTTGTGACAAAAAGCAGTCATGGGGCTAACAAATTCAATAAATACAAAGCAAGATTAAAGAGATCATGTCAAACCACTCCTGAGAATTGTTCATAAAGCATTTTTTTTGTCTTTTTGCAACAGGGTCTCCTAAGGCTGTACTTGAACTCGCTATGTAGCTGACACTGAACCTTGCAGCAATCCTCCTGCCTCTACTTCCAGAGTACTGGGATTACAAGCATCCACCACTATGCTGGCAATTAAAAAAGTATTTTAAAACAAGCCAAAGAAGGCAACACAGTGGTACATACCTACCTAAATTCCCAGAACTCTGGGAGGATGAGTCAGGATAACTGCAAATTTGAGCTCAGCCCAGTAACTCAGCCTGGGCAACTAGCAACTAGCAACTCAATAAGACCTTGTGTGTGTTGGCACACGTCTGTAATCCCAGCACTCAGGAGGTGGAGGCAGAAGGATCTCTGTGAATTGAGGCCAGCCTGGGCCTCACAGTGAGTTCAAGGCCAGCCTGAACAACACAGCAAGACCCTGTCTCAAAAAACTAAAAGGCTGGAATGTAGCTCAGACTGTAGGCCAGGTGGAACCCCAGGTATGCCATAAAACAAAAACAAACAAAAGAGAGAGAGAAGGGACCCAAAAGAAGAGAAGACACATTAAATGCAGAAAGGCTTCAGCTTTGTTGTTTAAAAACAATGCAAACCAGAAGACAGAAGAATAAATCTTTAAGGTGCTGCAAAATGAGCAAGCCAGTTTACCTATGGACTTAAAACACTAAATCTTAGCAAAAGTGTTTTCTAGTTCCAGCACAATGACAATTAACATAAAATGAAAATAGTCTGACTGTACTAATTAAAGGAAGAACCAATTATTAATAGATAAATTTACCTCAGGACAAACAATATTACCACAGATCAAAATGGACAAATGATAAGAGGCTGGGGATTTAGCTCAGTGGTTCTGGCGCCTGCCTTGCAAGCACAAGGTCCTGAGTTCGATCCCCAGTACCCCCCCCCAAAAGGACAAATGATAAAAAGGTCAATTAATCAAGAAGCACAATAACCTTATATATAAATCTAATTACAGAGTACTAAAAATCATGAAGCAAACTGACAGAAATGAAGACAGTCATATTCATAATTACATTTAATTATACAACTCTCTCAGCAACTGATATAACAAGTGGGAAGAAAATCAAAATATATATAGAAGAGCTGAATATCACCAACAACTGCCTTGAAATGAATGATGCCAAAATACATGTATTACCTAGGTCACATGGGAAACATTCACCCAGATACATACAGTATTCGATGAGTCACAATATTAAGTCTTAATACACCTAAAACAATTTGAAATAAGACAAAATATATTCTCTTACCACATCAGAATTAACCTAGAAATAAACAATAAAAAGCTAGGCTCAACGGTGCCACAGCCAGCCTCACAAGTGCAAGGTACTGAGTTCAATCCCTAGTACCAAAAGAAAGGGTAGTGACTGCTAACTCATGGTTCAAAGACAAAAATTAAAGAAAATTTCAAATACTCTCAACAGAATAAAAATGAAAACATAATGGTATCAAAATTTAACATGGAACAAAAGCAGTACTTAACTATATCAGGAATACACATTTAAATGAACAAAATATGTATAAAGGAGAAAAAATATGTATAAAGAAAAAAGGGCTTTGTGCCAAGAAGTTCCAACAGTAGGTCTTCTGGGTGGAGGGGAGAGTTGAGAAAGGGAAGGACAGAAGTTTCCTATCCTGGGACTTGATTAACAACTGTTCATCTTTAAAACACAAAGTTCTGTCACAAATGTACATTTACAATTTCTCAAAGCAAACTAAATAGAGGTATGTGCAACCACCAATTGGTCTAGAAAGCCAGATCAGAGAGAAAGAAAGAAGGTGGAGGAGATCTGCCAGCCAAGAGAGCCACCCTATCCCACGTCACCAACATATGCCATGCATTGGGAAGAGGTGTGAGGACAGTTAACTGGTGAAGAAGGAAGCACGTCACAGCCCCAAATGGTTATGGCAAGATGCAGCCTGGAAGCAGGAGCAACTCTCCCTAGAATATCTCTGACCTTAGAGCAGAGAGGAAGAATGTAGTGAAGCATTAACTCAAGATCTACCAGACTGTCCCAGACGTCAAACCCTCCCCCTCCCCCTCCCCCAGGGCACCCAGCTCCTCAGCACACAGGACCCCACACCGGCACACTGGGGGCTGGCATACGGGGAAGGTGCCGCAAGTGCTAACCACCCTGGTCATTGTCTCTACATCCTAAAACTCTCCAAGCCTCTGCACATCAACACCATACATCCCACACAGGGAACTTTCTCATTTAGGAGAAGGAATCTTCTGTATGACTGAAGAAAAGGTAAATCATTTCCAAACAAATAAGCTTTTAATCCTAAATATGACCAAAGATCAGCAATCACGAAGTATGACTGGGAGCCAGGCATGGTAGGGCACATGCCTGTAATCCCAGCACTCAGGAGGCTGAGGCAAGATGCCAGCCTGAACTGCATAGTGAGACCCTGTTTAAAAAGAAAAGTATGACCAAGAAAGACAAAAAAGAGCAGCACCGTTACCCACCCCCACATTACACTGATTACAAATTACAGAACAGGTATCCTCCTCAAGGAATCTGAAGATATATACCATCATTACAAAATACAAACAAGAGCCCCTGAAAAGAAAAACAGCTCTTGAAAACTATAAACTAAACAGGGAGAACTGGTGGTTTCTATGTAGCCCAGGCTGGCCCTGAACTAGTAGCAATCCTCCTGCCTCCGCCTCACTGGTGCTGAGACCATAGGTGTGCACCATCACACCCTGGTGGTTTCTGGTTAGCATATAAGGAGCTTGGCTTGGAAGTTGCCAATCTATATTAACAGCAAGCAAAAAGGTGAACAAACTAAAAACAAACAACTCTTCTTGGGTTGATCAAAATATCAAAAATCAAAGGATAGGGCCGGGGATTTAGCTGAGTGGTTTCGCTGCCTGCTGTGCAAACACAAGGACCCGAGTTCAATGCCCGGTACCAAAAAAAACAAAAAACAAAACAATCACAGGATAAAGTGCTGCCCCTCAAATTAGAAAGGCAAATAGAGAGGGTCACAATTTATTTAAGCAGACTCCTAAGCCCTAGAGG